AGATTCGAGGACGAATCCTTTTGAGGAGTGGGGGAATGATACATGCACCAGAGTCCATAATACATGCTTCTTTGGACTAATGTTTCTACTCGAACCTATTAGAAGAACAAAGTCTCGAAGATTCAAAGCATATCTATTTGGTAAGCATAATGTGAATGAATTATTAAACTATTCTAATGTTGCTCCCTTTAATGTTTCAGATTCGAGGTCGAATATTTTTGAAGAAAGGGAGGATGATACATGCATCACAAGGTTCACATCAAAGGAAGAAGTAATAACTCTTCCAAATGATCAACTCGTCCAAGCTTTGGAAAAGAAGATCAGAACACCAGCATACTTGCGACGACTTTTTGAATGGGATCCTGATCTTATTTGGTCAACATGTCTGCTTGATATACAACCGTCTGTCCCTTATCTTTCCAACGGTTCTTTAATCGCATCAATCCGATATCGGGAACTCAAGATATAGCCATTTTACTGAAGACGGTGCATGCAGAAAATCTTATACGGGATTAATACGAGATTTTGTAAATATTACGAATTTTCAATATTTTTATTGATTATTTGTAATATAACTTAATATAGGATGATGCATTATCTTTTAGGATTAGATTTATTATTTTATTAGGAATTAAGGTTGGGTTAAAATATTATCTTTAGTTATTATTATTTTATTAGGAATTAGAGTTAAGACATGTTTAGTTTATTATTATTTTATTCATTAGTTATCTAAGTCCTTTAGAACTCAGCCCCTATATAAAGGAGGCTTCATTCAACTTTGTAATTCAAGATTTCTTTGATTAATAATACAACGAGAGTTCGTTTTTGCAAGTGTTGATTGCCTTGTGCCTTCGAAGCTTCTTCTCCTTGAGTTCTTTCAAGTTCTTGTGAGGGAGATTAATCTTCACACTCCAATTTGCCTTTTCATCGCGACTAGGAGGGTTGGTTAGAGCCACATTATCGTGTTTGCCTTTTCATTGCGACTAGGAGGGCTCGATAGGACACTTATCCATCTATTTTCCACAAATCCATCCTCACCATCATCATCTTTACCGTTCACCTTCATAAGGGAGATCTTTTGATTTCTTGGTTATCTTATTTTATTTTCAATTTCTTTATCTTTTGTTTATCTTGTTCTAATATTGTTTCTTATCTTGTTTTCAGCACCTCAAAGAAAACCCTAAAAGAACCCTAGCTATTACCGCCACCTTCTCTATTCATTCATCATTGTTCTTCATCGAGTCTAGAGCTTTCTAGGTTTGATTCTTCAATAAGAGCAACATTCATTAACCCGCCACCGCTTCCCTATCACTTTACCACGGAGATAACTTTGTTTGTGCAATATAAAGTTATTTTTAAAAATACAATTTTTGAGATAAAATATTTTCTTATATATTATTTGATTTGTTGGATGGTTCTTCTACGCTCGATGAACAGCGATAAGCACCATTAATGACGAGTACCATTAATTTAATTTATAAAAAAATAAATTCTAAATAACTCAACATATAATTATAATTTAGTTAAAAAATTAAAGATAAATTATTTAAAATAAAAGGTAAACTATACCAGTGGCCACCTAAATATTGATCCTTTTCATTTTGACCAATATTTTTGAAATTTTGTCAATAAGGTCACTCAACTATTTAAATGCATTCAATTAAGCCACTTGTCGTTAATAGTTAACGAAGAAGATGATGTGATAGTTAAAATATTTGGTATAATTATACATTTGATCACTTCTACTTATATATTCTATCAATTTGGTCCTAATTTTAATAAATTAAAATAAACTTAACCCTCAAATCAAATGGTGCCATGACAATGACCCAAAACTTAACTTTTTATTTTAATTTATTTTAATTTTAAAAATTATGAAATGTTATATATTTATAACAAAATAAAATTTATAAAATAACATTTTTTCTAAAAAATTGAATAACTCAAGCAATAATTTATGATATTAAATTTAAAACAAACTAAATTTATCGCCTTTTTTATATAAGTCAGTCTCTTAGTGCAAAATTTTTCATGCTAAGTCCATTGAGAATCTTATCACTATAAACTTTTATTAAAGATTGACATAAAATTTTATGGTAGGAGATGAACTTTTAAAATTTTAAAGGAAGACTGTGCAAACATGAAAGAAACATGTCACATTTTTCTATTAGAAATTTACTGGACAAAAATTTCTTAGTTTTACAGGTTAGACTATATCACATTTTTCTAGTAGAATGTCATTTACAAATAGTAGTAGGATTAAAAAATTGTCCAGCAAACTTTATATGCATTGATTAATCAACTATATTTTCCTTAAAACCAAAAAAGGTTATGGTACCATTGATAGGATGCTTATGAGAACCACAAATAGAATTTATAGTAAAAATTTTGTTTTGTTATAAATATAGAATATGTCATAACGTTTAAAATATTTTAAAATTAAAGATTTGAGGGTTAAGTTTATTTTAATTTATTAAAATTTAGACCAAATTGATAGAACACATAAGCAATAGTGACCAAATGTGTAATTATACCAAATATTTTAACTGCCACATCAACTTATCCGTTAAATATTAATAGCAAGTGACTTAATTGAATGCATTTAAATAGTTGAGTGACCTGATTGATAGAATTTCAAAAATATTGGTTAAAATAAAAGGGATAATAGTTAGGTGGTCACTAGTATAATTTAACCTTTATTTTAAATAATTTATCTTTAAATTTTTTACTAATTTATAATTATACGTTTAGTGCTTTAGAATTTATTTTTTTTATAAATTAAATTAAGGGTATACTACAGAGTTGATCAATTTTGTTTCATTTTTTTAAACCTATGGCCACTCTATCCATAAACGTCAATACACAGTCACTTTTGTTTCATTTTAATTAAGACATTGTCACTGAGACGTTAGTTGTTATGAGTTTGATGATGTGGCACATTAGTAAAAAGGTTTAATTTTTATTTTAACCCTTAAGCTTGAGATAAATTACTAATTATGAGGTTTTTTTTTAAACCCAAAATAGTTCAAGGGTAAAATATCAATTTACCTATTCTTTCCATATGTTTATCAACAAACCCGAAACCTCCACGACGGGGATGTTCACATCGGTTGGATTTGGTTCGCAAGACGTCGAGGAGCACATAGATGGTGACGGTGAGGCCTAATGGTGACTGGATTGGTAGAAATTTGTTGATAACAGTACAATGGTTTTGAGTTCTCCGACAGAACTTCGACGAGCTTTCCACATCGATCGATAATAGTTCACGGGACACTCTCAACGAGATTTTGATCGATGTGATCAGGAGGTCATGATGGCATCGACGGTGACGATCATCGACGACCGAATGATGGCGAGGGATCAATTGAATGGAGATGGGATTAAAATGAAATTTGGGGGGTTTGAAATTAGGGATTTTCCATTTCTGATTTGGGAATAAAACATAAGGAGAAAGGGGGTTAATTGATTTTTTTATCTTTTAATTATTTTGGATTTACAAAAAGACTCATAATTAGTAATTTATCTCAAGCTTAATGATTCAAATAAAAATTAAACCTTTTTACTAACATGTCACATCATCCAACTCACAACACCTAACGTCTCAGTGACCACGTCTTAATTAAAACGAAACAAAAATGACCACGTATTGACATTTCTGGATCGAGTAACCATAGGTTTAAAAAAATAAAACAAAATTGATCAACTCTGTAGTTTACCCTTAAATTAATGTTGCTCATAGTTAGTGGTGCTCATCGCTTTTCGTCGAGCGTCGTAGAATTTTCTTGATTTATTTCACAATAATATAGATTATATTATTTAGTTTGTCTTATTCTCATTCCCATTCCCATTCCCATTCTTGAGGAGATGGTATCCCAAAACGATGATTCTTTATTACCATGAAATATTTTATTAGTTTTTTATTTTATAATTATTTATATAATTGTATTTATTTTATTGATCGATTAACTCAGATTAAATATTACAAATGTTTATTATAGCGCAACCTTTTTAACTTATTTTTTCTTATTATTAATATTAATCTATAAAATTATTAATCGGTATTGAATATTATAAAATTTACTATAAAAGTGACATCTTAATATTTTATCTATAACATAAGAATTCAAAATTATGAATTTTGTTTAAAAATCTAATAAGAACACCTCATTTCATTAAACTATTAAAACTTGATATTTCAATAATTTATTCGAAAACAATATTCAATTTTAAGGAAGGTGGTTAGGAATTTACAAAGAAGGAAGAATCTTCCGTTAAATGGAAGATATAATTTATGAGGGTAAAGTACACAAATAATCCCTTGATTATTGGTTGTTACTTTATTAGATCTCTCAACTATTAAAAGTTATAAGATGATTCTTCAAATATAGATGTTACTTTGTTGAGTCATTTGAGTATTAAAAGTTACCAAATAATCATTAGACTATTCATTACAAAATTGATGGTCGTTTGAGCTTAACGTTAACATGCTGATTGAGATATTATAATCTTTTGAGATTCTAGGATCATATTTTATCACATGTAAGTCAACAAGTTAATGTCCAACTTAGACTGCAGTCAATTTTATAATGAAAAAGGACGAATTTAGAATATATGAATAGTCAAATGATCATTTTGTAACTTTTAATAGTCGGTGGACTCAACAAAACAATGTCCTATAATCGGGAGACTATTTTATAACTTTTTATAGTAGTGGGACTTATCACCCTATACGTATACGTATAGGAGACCATTTGTGTACTTTAGCCAATTTATAATTATGAAATAAGATTTTTATTTTATAAACGAACTTGAGCGCCAAGTAGTTTCCACCATACTTTCCAAAAAGAAAAAACTTGGAGAGTTCGTTACCGCGTTACGCGCTTCCCTTGTCCTCAATGATTAAGGCGTTGGATTGTATGGATCCAATTGCTTCTTGTAGACGCAGTACACACAGAAAGATACTGACCCTCGTCACTATATAATCCCTCAGCTCACACCTTTTAGCTGCACTTTTTTTTAATTCGTAAGCGCTTGCAGAACAAATTAGTCGGTACGGTTAGTGAGCTCAGAATATTCACAGTTTTTTTTATTCTCGTGTTGCGATGGATAGAGGAGGGTATGGTGGAAGTGGAAGAGGCAGCGGGAGAGACGGAGCAGGAGGAAGAGGCAGAGGAGGACGAGGAGGCAGAGTGAGAGGTGGAGAAGGTGGAAGAGGCAGAGAGAGAGGGAGAGACGGAGGAGGAGGAGGAGGAGGCGGGGGGAGGGATACTAGGCTTCATCAGCAAGGGCAGCAGGGAAGAGGAACGAACCAGGGCCGGAGCCAACGACAAGTGGTTCCAAACCCAAGTGCAGCCCATCAGAGTCCTGCTCCTATGGTGTTCGACAGGGGCGAAGGGACGTCTAGTGGAGTTCGGAAACCATGGGGAGGTCGATCTTTTGCTCAAGTTCTGTCAACCCCAAGTCATGGATCTTCTTCTACTTCTTCACCAGCGGGTCATGATCCTGGTATGTGCTTTTGGTCCCATTCTTTTGGTTTGTTTATGAGCATACAATATATGGGTTATAGGTTGTGCCTTGTTGCAATAGACAATTCTTTGTACTGAAATAAATTGATTAATAATGTTTGGTGATGTTAAAATCGATATACTTAATTGCACCAACTTCAGCTCATTCTACTTTGGATACACAAGGATACCCTTTGTGTAGTTGTTTATTTTCATGTTAAACTATTTTGTTGCTCTGTTTGTTTTCAATGCATGATAAACATGAGGCCATAAATTAGCTTGATTCTTTATTGATGTTTCAAAGTTATATTATGTTGATGCTACCAAATTACAGTGCTTATAACAATACATTACTTGCCTGCAACTTAGTTTCATAACTTTTACCTTTCACAGGTGCTATTGCTACTGCAATGAAATCACTGACTATTTCAAAACCAGTGCTGCCTTCGTCGTCATCTACCGAAATAATTTTGCCTATTAAACGACCTGATAATGGAGGGACGAATGGTACTAAGAAACTTATGCTTCTTGTCAATCATTTTGCTGTTATCTTCGATGCAACGAAGATTATATGGCACTATGATGTTGATGTTAAGCCAATGTTGGCTTCAAGTAACGGACATCCTGTCAAAATATCGAAGTTTGACTTGTCTTTAATAATGAAAAAGATGTACGAGGCCAATCCCAACCGGTTTCCTATTAACGAGATTGTATATGATGGCAGAAAGAACATCTTTAGTGTTGCAGAATTACCTACTGGGGAATTTGAAGTACAACTATTCCAGTCTTCATCATATCTCGTGACACTAAAGCTTGTGAACGAACTCAGGCTTTCTCAACTTAATGATTACATTGGTGGACAAGAGCCGTCGGTTCCTCGTGATATATTACAAGCAATGGATTTGGCATTGAAGGAGACTCCTAAAAGGTTTAAGTTCTCTTTGAATCATAGTTCCCGTTATCCAGGAGTCGACCTTGGGCACGGTATTGTTGCATCTAGACAACCTACATATAGTTTGAAGCTGACTTCTCAAGATTTAGCTTTGTGTCTGGACTACTCAGTGATGCCAGTTCGTAAGCCATTGCCTGTTCTTGACTATCTGAAGCAGCAGATAGATGGTTTTAATATAAATGCGTTTGGAAACCTCAAGGAAAATATTGCAAAAGCGTTGAATGAATTGGAAGTCTATAAATCTCATATTGATTTTTACCGAAGACATAAAATTTATGGATTGACTTCTAATGGCGCACAAGATATTTCGTTTATCTTGGAAGGCCAAGAAACCAGCCTTGTAGATTACTTCAAGGTGAAGTATGAGATAGATATCGAGCACCAAGGTATTCCCTGCTTGGAATTGGGGAAAAGGAATGGAAGTCATGTGGTGCCCATAGAATTATGTGTCGTAGCTGAAGGACAGAGATATCCTAAGGATTTACTTGATAAAGAAGCAACAAAGACGTTGAAGAATTTGTCGATGCCTTTACCAACCGATAGGAGGAAAAAAATATGTGATATGGTGCAGGATGCAAATGGTCCTTGTGGGTAAGCATGGACAAACTTGAACTTTTGAGTTGGATCTGTTTTTGGAACAATCATTTTTACACAAGTATAGTTTGTTTTTGTTACAATTTCTTGTCTTCTACCAATTGATTTCGTACAGAGTACTTTTAACAATCGAAATGCGAACTTATACCTTTTGGCCGCCTGATAATATACTGTATTCCTTGCTTTGTTCATCTAGTTTGTCTCTGGATAATTATATGTTTCACTATTTGCAGTGGAGAAGTTGTGCAAAATTTTGGGATGCAACCAAGCACGAACATGACAATAGTGGAAGGTCGTGTTCTTAGCCCACCTGAGTTGTTAGTTCGTGCTCGTCGAGGCGATAAGATAAAAATACATGTTCCTGAAGACAAATGTCATTGGAACCTTGCTCATGGTAGACGTCTGGTTGAAGGGAAGAAAATTGATCGCTGGGCTATTCTTGATTTCACACCACTTGGAACGTCCAAACAAAGCTTGGATTATGATTTATTTGTTCAAAGTCTTGGAAAACGATTCAATGAACTCGGGATGGCTATTGGGAAGCCACTTCATTATGAGAAGGCTGAAATGAACGTTTTAAACAGTGAGGATGAGCTTCAAAAGAAGCTTGTGAATATTCAGCGCCGATCTTATGAGAAATCAGGAGGACGTCTTCAGCTGCTTCTTTGTGTGATGGCTGGACAACACCCTGGTTACGGTTGCCTTAAATTTGTTGCCGAGACCAGAGTTGGCATTATGACCCAATGTTGTCTGTCTTTCGGTGCCAATCAAGCGACAGATCAATATCTTGCTAATCTTGGTTTGAAGATTAATGCCAAGCTTGGAGGCCAAAATGTAGACATCAATGAACCTCTACTTCACTTTAAAGATGAAGGTCATCTTATGTTTGTAGGTGCTGACGTCAATCATCCTGGCAAGAACTCAACTAGTCCTTCAATAGCAGCTGTTGTAGCTTCCATGAGTTGGCCTGCTCCTCATCGTTATGCGGTGAGAATTCGCCCACAAGAAGCCAGATCAGAGAAGATTCAGGACTTTTCTGAGATGTGTTGGGAGCTTATAGAGTCTTATAACAAGTTAAACCATCGCATGCCTGCAAAAATTGTGATATTTCGCGATGGAGTTGGTGAAAGCCAGTTTGATATGGTACTTAATGAGGAGCTAGTCGGCATCCAGAGAGCCTTTAAAGCAAAGGATTATTTTCCAACCATCACGCTTATCGTAGCGCAGAAGAGACACAACACACGTTTCTTTCCGATGAACAAACAGGATGGAGGTTCCTCCGGCAACGTGCCTCCAGGAACCGTTATTGATTCAACTGTTGTGGATCCTTCAGGGTTTCATTTCCATCTGTTTAGCCAGTATGGTATGATTGGGACTAGCAAGTCAACACAATACCACGCCCTTTGGGACGAACATGGGTTCACTAGTGACCATATCCAACAGCTAATACATAGCATGTGCTTCACTTCTGCTCGGTGCACCAAGTCTGTCTCCTTGATCCCGCCGGTTTTTTATGCCGACCTCGCTGCGTATAGAGGTCGGCTTTACCAGCAGGTATTGAACCGACGACAATCTCAACCACTGGCTGATGCATTTGACAGGAGCTATTACAGGGTCCATCCTGACCTTGAAAATTCAATGTTTTTCATCTGAAAAAAAAACGCCACGATGATATCGTCCTCGTAAAGGAGTTTGTGCGTGAATCTATCCGTGCTTCGTGTTCAGCGTATCCTCCAAGTTGACATGGCTTATGAAGACCATGGGAGTTTTAGAGGATTTCCATTGTTATGTGTGTTTTTAATCTGCAAAAGTGTGTGAGAACCCGGTTGTTTGAAGACACTATCCTATATTACTTGGTAAATAAGGAGGTTTGATGTATCACTTTATCCTTAAAGATTTGAATTCTAAGAATACTAAACTTTACTTAAAGAATATCGAGTCTCTTATTTCACGATTGAATTAAACGTTTGATATCATTTTTTCCATTTGATGAATGTATTATTATTGCTAGATGATGAGATGAGACTTAGCTAGTTAAGTTATTGACTTGTGGGTGTGTGTACGTCGTCAATGTCTAAGAAAGATTATCAAGAGATTACTATTTTATAATCACTCTATACTATTATAAAAATGACTTAAGAACTACTTTTGCCTCTTGTGGTAGTCTAAATTTATATTTCTCTTATGATTTTTCTTTTGCATCAATTTAGCCCTCGAAGTTGTTTACAGTGTTCATCTTTGTCCTCAAAGTCCGTTGACCGTTTTGACTAATAGAACTGTGAGTTAGATTAAGAGATTATGTTAAAATATTTCTTAAACACAATGATTAGAATAAATTCTCAAAATTTTATTATTTATTTTAGTGAGATTAAGAGAGTAGTTCGAATTTTTATGATTTTTTTCTAACCGTTGTATGTAGTAAATATTTTATTATTTATTTATTTTAATAAATGTCACGTCATCATCAAGCTACGACAATAATATTGGATGATCTGAAAATTGTTAGTAATGATAAATACAGAATACTAACAATTATGTTAGTCAAAATAGACTTCGAGGGTTAGGATGAACATCGTAAAAAACTTCAAATTGAAGCATAAAACTATAAGATTAAAAATGATAAATTGAATCTACTATAGGGGAGTAAAAGTAGCCCTTAAACCTAAAAAAAAATTATTGTTTAATATACTTTTAATAAATAAAAAAAATAAAAATAGAGTACGAATAGGAATAATAATCTGTTACGCTTTTTTACGTTAATTGTGTATTCTTGTCTTAAAATTTTGTTTTCATTCATTTTTACATAATTTTTTATTAACATATATATGCATCCAATTTTAAAAATATTTTTAAATAATCAAAACAGACTACAATATTTGAAGAAAACATTAAGCGATTAAAAAAAAACCAGGATCTACCATAAAAATATCACATCCTAATTCTGTCACTGTTAAATTACTTTAACAAACGTTGACAGATCAACAAATATTATAAAAATCACACAAAAAAATCTATCATATTAAGCAGTGTTTTGAATGTTTCAAATAATTAATTATATGATTTATCTCTTATATATCATCGTGTTAAATCACAATTATATAATAAAATAAATTGAATATAAAAATTAATATATAATAGCTGATTAAGGAAAAAAATCAAAACTAAACTGACATGTTAAATAACAAATTAAGTAAGTAGTTTGACATTTATACGAGTTGATTATGTTCATCTCAAAGTTTGTATTTGAGAAGTCGTTCCCATTCTTGAATAGATTGTATCTCAAAGCAATGACTCTTTATCATCATAAAATATTTTATTACTATTTATTTGTTAATTAATTTAATATTTAATATTTATTTATTTATCATGGTATTATCCTTTTAATTTAATTTATTTTTCAACTCAATTCTAATTATAAATCTTATTTACGAGATTAAATTCCGCACTTGTTAATAATAAATATTTTAATAATTTGTTAAAGAAACAAAGTTCAAACTTGTAAGAAAATTATTAGGAATTACAAATGAAAAAGGAATCTTTGATCAAATGGTAAGACTATTTATAAAGCAACAAAGATAAGACCTTTATTTATTATAAATAATTATTTATTAAACAAGCTCAACTTATTTTATCAAAGAAAGAAGCTGGTGAGTTCATTACCGCCTTACCCGATTCCTTGTCATCTCATTGTTTAAGGCGTTGGGTTGTACGGATTCAACTGCTTCTGGTAGACGTAGTATGCTCGGTTAGTGACCCTCGTCATTATGATCCCACACCTTTTAGCTGCTCTTTATTCATTCATTCGTAACCGCTTGCAAAACAAATTACTCACCTCTTTGCTGCTTCCTTTTGTTTTTTGTTTTTCTTGTGTTGCGATGGATAGAGGAGGGTTTAGTGGAAGTGGAGGAGGAGGGAGAGGGAGAGACGGAGGAGTAGGCAGAGGCACGGGTGAGGATGCTTGGCATCGTCAGCGAGAGCAGCAGGGAAGAGGATCGAACCAGGGTCGGAGCCGAGGACAAGTGGTTCCAAGCCCACGAGCAGTTCAGCAGGGTCATGTTCCTATGGTGCCCGGCCGGGCCGAAGGGACGTCTAGTGGAATTCAGAGACCATGGGGTGGTCGATCTTTTGCTCAAGTTGTTTCAACCTCAAGTCATGGATCTTCTTCTACTTCTTCACCAGCGGGTCATGATCCTGGTATGTGCTTTTGACCCCATTATTTTGGTTTGTTTATGAGCATATAAAATATGGGTTATAGGTTGTGCCTTGCTGCAATAGACAACTCTTAGTACTGAAATAAATTGATTAAGAATGTTTGGTGATGTTAATTGATATCTTAATTACTCCAAGTCGTTTTTAGTTTTTGTTTTGTTAGCCCATTCTTCTTTAGGGATACACAAGAATACCCTTTGTTTAATTGTTTATTTTCTTCATGTTTGCAGACTATCTTGTAGCTCTGTTTCTTTCTAATCCACGATGAAAAAATGAGGCCATAAATTAGCTTGATTCTTTATTGATTTTTCATAGAGATATCATGTTGATGTTGCCAAATTATAGTGCTTATACAAAGTAATATCATGTTGATGTTGCCAAATTACAGTGCTTATAACAATACATTACTTGCCAACAACTTAGTTTCATAACTTTCACCTGTCACAGGTGCTGTTGCTCCTGCGATGGAATCACTGACTATTTCAAAACAGGTGCTCCCTTCGTCGTCATCTACCGAAATAATTTTGCCTATTATACGACCTGATAAAGGCTGTACAAATTCCACCAAGAAACTTGTGCTTCTTCTCAATCATTTTCGTGTTGAGTTCGATGCAAAGAAGATTAGACGGCATTATGATGTTCATGTTAAGCCAATGGTGGCTTCAAGTAACGGACATCCAGTCAAGATATCGAAGTTCGACTTGTCTTCAATATGGAAACAGACGTCCGAGGCCAATCCTGACCGGTTTCCTATTGACAAGACGGGTATACGAAGGCGAAAAGAACATCTTTAGTGTTGCAAAATTACCTACCGAGGAATTTAATGTGCAACTATCCAAGTCATCATCATACATTGCGACACCAAAGGTTGTGAATGAACTCAAGCTTTCTGAATTGAATGATTACATTGCGGGACAAGTGCCGTCATTCTGAATTGAATGAAAAGCTTTCGTTTGGGTTATTTAGCTTTAGATCTGAACTTAGGGTTGTAGATCGGTCGGTTTAGGTTATTTTAGTGGTAGGGTGTGGTTTTCCGATCACCGCAAGTGGTGGTCGGAGCGGTGGTTCAACGTCGATGTATTGCGAGGGAAGAGGCGGCGAGAGCTCCAGAGTTCCCGGTCGAGCAGTGTGAGAGATGAGAGGGAAAAGAGTTTTTTTTATTTTTAGTTTAGGGATCCAAATGACCAGAAAAAGAAAAAGTAGTATTTATGCTAGAACTTTAGGGGTAAACTGTGTATAGGATCCCCATACTTACGCAGGATTTTACATTATGGTCACTGATAATCCATTTTAAATTTATTTTGAATTTTATCTGCTGTTTTCATTTATTTTAATTTAATCTCTTATTTCTACTATTTTTATTTATTTCAAAATGTTGTTTTTTTTAAAATTATTTTCTTTATTTTTTTAATTTTATTATTAAGTGATAATTATTAGCCGCTAACTTTTACTTTATTAACAGAAAAATTAAAGAAAATAAAAAGGAACAGGAGAATAATCAAAACAAAGATATGAAAAAAAGATTGAAATATATAAATGTGAGAGCATACGGGTGAGGTCCAAATGTGAGAGCAATCTTAATTTTCCATAGAGAAAAATTGTTTATTAAGTTATCGTATATAAAATAAAATACAAAACCCTACGAGATCCAATCAAAATAAAAAAAAATAGCTTTCTACTAAGAAACACATCTTAAGTTCAAATTTATTTTACAATTACTCTTCTTGGATGATTTGTGCACTACCAATCCTAATTAGGTTGCCAATCGAAAATAATTAGATCATTTTCCATATTTCTCAATTTATGACTATATGAAACCTGTAATAAATATATGATCAGTATGACAATAATAATAATTATTATTATTTTTAATATTTATTTACCTTAAATATGTCACCTTCTTTGTATGTGTTGGGCATGAACATAACTAGTTTTGACGCTTAGAATACATCAGTGTATGTCACATCCATAGCAGAAAGTTTATTTGGAGAAGGTTTACGAGTCTTATTCAATTATAATGTTGCATCTTCATTTGTGGGGTTGGATGAAGAAGCTTGAGCTTCGATTTTATTGTGTATTCCTCTCCCTGCTTCAAGAGTTATAGGATCACCAATCCCAAAAAAATCTTTTTTCATAGTGCTCCTCCTTTTAGAATCCACTTTGACACCTTGTAATTTGAGGCTTAATTTTGCAAAATGATCTTTAGCCTCATTAAACGTTTGTGATGTACGATGACATATATTCATGCAAAAAGAGGCTAGATTGGAATACTTAGCTTGGACTGTTGCAGGATTATCGACTTCAATATTTTCATTGTTCTTATGTAATCCAGTATCTTTCTTTGCATAAATTGTCCAACATTTCAATATACATCCTTGAGGTATTTCCTTCGCCTTTTCATATTTTAGCACATCAAACATGTCTATATACAAATCCAACAGACTCTAACTTCATTTAACAACAATACATTGTATCATGAGCAACATCCTCAACTACAAGATACCATACATTTTCTTTTTCAGCATGCTCTAGCCAGTAACACATACTTCCATTATCTGGTATAATATCTTTGATCAAATAATAAACCTCATACGATATTTCCTTGCATAAAGTAGCAAAACAATTTCTTGTATATACTTGTGTTGCATGAGTTTTTAAAGTTACTAATATACCGTCACAATATGGTTGTTCATCTGTTGTCATGTACTCTTGATGACCTTCCTCCCACCATAAAGTTTGTAGTTCCTTATGATAATATGTAACAAAACGATACAACATTACCATTTCGTCCAACAAAGTTTTAAGTGTTCTATGTATTGACTCACAACGTTGAGTAGTCCTCATTGTTGCACATAATTTTTTTAGTAATTTTTATTTAATACAATAAATAAAAGAAAATATAAAATGAATTCAGCTATAATTAAAGTATTTTTAAAATATAAATAAATTCACATACATAAAAGTATCCTTGCATATATGCTTCTGCCCATTTTTTCTTGGTTTCTTACAATTCTTTTATCCACCTCCTATCTTCAAATTTATGTTTATGCACTAATTCAGTCCAAGCCTTTTCAAAATTTGATGGTGTTCTACACTTGTCAACGCATCTCATAAATCCACCGTGAAATTCTTTATTACCATTTCAGTTGACATTCCTCATAAGCTGCCATAAACATAGTCTATGTTTCGCCTTTGGGAGAACTTGAGAAATGACATTTGCCATAGCTTTATCTTCATCGGTAATGATAGTAAGTGGTTTATAGTCATCTCCCGCTACAATCAATTATTGTAAAACCCACACATATGTATCTTCTTTTTCATTTATTACCAATGCACATCAAAATGGAATTGTGTTTCGATGATGATTAACGCCAACCAAGACTACAAATGGTTTGTTGTATGCAGTGCATTTGCAGGTAGTGTCAAATATAAGTACTTGCCCAAATTCCTTATAATCGATACGTGATACATCATCACACCAAAATAACTTCTTCAGGTTTCCATGTTCATCTCTCATATGCCTCACAAAAAATAATGGATCAAGTTCTTGCTTTCCATAAAGATATGTCATCACCATTTCAACATCATTAACTTGCGTTTCTTCTCGTTTGATCATATGTATGCAATTGTACAATTTTTTTTTATATAAATCCAACATTCTCAAGAGAACCAACTTCATTCATGAAATTTCACATTATTCTAATTGGAGCAATTACTGAGTTGTGCATTGTATTAAATTTGATTTTATCTACATCACTAATTTTTTGAAAGGACCTACAACCAAATCATCAGTAAGCATTATAAATCACAAATATATTAAAAAATAATGGTAAAAAATAATGCAAAAATATAACATAATTACACAATTAATACCAAATGATATGAAATTAATGTTAATAAAAATTAATGAATAAAATAAATTATTAATAATATTATTAATTAAAATCAAAGAGTCCATTTGAAATTAATTATCAAAATAAAAATATTGTACAAATTATAGAAGATTTAAAACCTAGAATTCTAAAATCTAAATAGGGAAAAATATAGGGGTTTGCATGTAATTTGGACATTTAAATTAAAACAAAAGTATGAGAGGATTCATGTGATTTAACCATGTATAATAAAACAGACGACAATATAAATGGAGGAAACTATAGGGTTTTTTTTTCATGAATTTAACCATTCGAAATAAAACACAAATATAGGGGGTTTTAATATAAGTTTACCATTAACAAAATAAAAATTTACCTGAACGTGCAAATTGGAAGAGACGACCGGAGTAAACTGTGATATGGCCTTACACGCGGCGGCGGTTGGGAACGAAAGAGAACGGCGGTCGTGGTTGGTCTGGATAGGCCGGAAGACGGTCGGGGAAGATGTTTCGAAGGTCACCGGCGGAAAAAAAAAAGAAAAACAAGACGACGGCATACGCAAACGGCAGAGTTTCTCCTTCAAACGGATGACGCTGTGCGACGCCGAACTGAGCGAAGGCGAATTGGTTTTTTGGCGAGTCAAGAGTTCACCGACGGTTACTGATTATGATGACGGTCTTAACTTATATAATTTAAAATTCCTAATTTACTTAAATTCATTATTATTTTTATTAAAAATTATAATTTTATTAAAAATTATAATTTTATTAAAATTAAATTTTAATAAATGTTTAAATTTAAATAAATTTTTAATATTTATATAATAAGGATAAATTTGCTTGTGGTATAATTTGATATTTCGTTTTAATGGTACGTTGCGATATGTGACGTGCGCGGTAAAATTTTCCGGTATATACAAGATAAGTCTGGTAACTTACAAAGACCATGGAGTTTATTGTTATGATTTGTTTTTTTGTCTGTTTTTAATATGCAAAAGTGTGTGAGAATTTTAATATGATTTGTTTGTTTGAAGACACTATCATATCCCCCAAGTTGACATGGCTTATGAAGACCATGGAGTTTTAGAGAATTTCCATTGTTAGGATGTGTTTTTAATCTGCAAAAGTGTGTGTGAGAACCCGGTTGATTGTTTGCAGACACTCTTTCCTATATTACCTGATAAACAAGGAGGTTCGATGTATAGCTATATCCTTAAAACAATCATACTGCAGAAAATTTTATCCATCGGTAACCAGTATAGTTCAATGGTACCAAGAGTTTAGAGAATTTCCCAAGAAAATTATTGCAGAGAATGTTTTAGCGGAGTAAGGCATGTGAAGGCGGCCCAATTTGAATGAGACAATTGTATTATTCGGTGGAAAGATCTGCCAATTATTTTCACCACTAGATAATATATCCACCACAAACTCTCTTTTTGTTGGATATTTGAGATATCAGTTGAATCCGAACATCCACTGCCTAGTAGCCATGTGGCATGACCCCATGTTTGAGGAAGAGATTTTGCACAACTTTGGAGAAAAATTATCTTTCAGATGAAAACAAATGGTCATTGGAATCATTTGTCATGCTAACCGATCCGGCAAAACTGTGATATTCCGTGGAGAATGGACAATATGTTATGTTATTCGGATTCGGGATGAGTATTAGTTCTGAAAAAGTTATGTTTAAGCACTTAAATACATGTAAATCACTTTTAAGTATTGAATCTCTGCATTTCTTTAACAAGCCGGGGCCGTCTAGGCCTCGAGCTCTGGCTACCGGTGCCACACGATGCTTGTGATGATTGAATAATCTCACCAGGATCCGTATTCTATCAAAGATGAACAGGTTGAACTCTCAATGATTGACAATGGCTAGCTTTGAAAATGTCACCACAGCGTTTTGTGATTTGCTGCAATGAGAAAGAAGCAAGCACCCTTTCTTCAAGTACTCGATCAGAATTCGAGGATTCTACCAACTGTGGCCCGAGTATTGAGGATGCCGTGACCTGGAAATCTTTATCTCTAACCGAATTCAGAAAGCGGCTCATCCAGGCAATAGTTACCAGGCTCGCTCGTGCTAAACTAGGAATGCCCTTTGCCATGGAATTCGAAAGAGCAGCTAAGAATCTCTTGTTACCACTTTCAAGCAATGCCATTGCAGCTTTCCTTCGCCAATTATCTATTTCTTCCTCCTCTTCATGCTAGCGAAAACAAAATCGATCGACATCAGAAAAGAATTATCTGAAGAATTGTAGCTACATTGAGAAGCTTGATATCTTGCAACTAAATATAGGCAATCTTACCCAGAAATTGTCACCTATATCCTTCATGTGAAATGCATCCCCTAAGCTCTCATGAAAGCTTGCTTGTTTCAAAAGCCAAGTTTCGGTTGTTGCCTCTCCCGTGTGAGAAAATCGGCCTCCCAACATCGTAAGTGCTTTGGCGGATTGTTCTTGAATCTTTCCATTACACTTTTCACAATCTAAAGATTCTATAATTGCCTCAACTGCTTCTTCTCTATAAACACTGCACCTCAAAGGATCTCCCTGTAAAACGACTTTAATCCATGAGTTTCGAGTCAAAATATTCATAATTATACTCTTTCTTGGGGTACAAGGTACCATATTAATGGAGAAAAAAAGATTGAATATCTAATGGATATAGAGGCATCGATTTTGGTATATAATGCTGTGAATGACAATGAAATTAGTTACCAGCAGATCAAGCTGTAACAAGAGAGCTGCAACCATGGGGCGTTCTTCGGGTACAGCTTTCTTTAGGTATGCTAATAGAATGTGCATGGTATTCAAGCCTCCCCACCCATTCAGCAGATCATTTAAGAACTTTGTTATCAATGTTCTTCTGTTAGCATTCACTTGGTAATAAGGATATGTATTTGAAGTTCGAGAACTAATAAGAAAATCAAGGTAAATCGTAATCTGATCAGTACCTGTTTAGGCAGAGGAGCTCAATTATTAAGGCAATAACAGATCCATTAGAATTCTTACGGTTCACAATGATAAGTTCGATTAGAGATGCAAGGTTCAATTCATCAGCTAAGTAGTTCCGACAACTTCCATCGGCTCGAATGCAGCAGGATATGATCAAAACAACCTTTTTCCTCTCGAGAAAACCACCGATCTCAACATTCCTTATCAGAAGGCTCAATCCCCCGATCGAAACCAGTTGACAAGCATTCTCTAAGTTTCTATCTTCATTAAAACCTGTTAAGAGTTGGTCTAGGACGTAAAACGCGGCGACTCGAGGACTACATTTTACAGTAAATAGAGTCTGCAAATGCACTCCAAACTCTAAAACTCTAAGGCTTAAAGGAATCCACTCAGGTAATATCAGATGCTTAGCCTTTGGCTTCAACAAGTAAAGCAGCACAGCAGCTTTTAAAAATATACTACTATTTCTCAACAGTTTTAAGAAGACTTTGAGCTGTGGATCTGAGTTAAGTATTATCTGCCTATTCAATTCACTCCTATCCGCAAATTCTGCTAAAATTGATATCGCTAATTCCAGAATTTCATCATCATTCGAAGCAAACAAAACCTCGAGGATTGCCTCGACAACAGGTGGTTTTGTTAATGCAGCTTCAATGGCAGGATCACCATGTGAGTCCAACCATGCTTTGGTCATTACCCGGATTGCGATTTCGCAGTCACTTAGAATATCCGACGAGCAAACAGTGGCAATGACTTTGCTTAGATCACTCAAAGGAAGATCCACATTATCCAACATTCTCATTGAATTGTTTCCGACAACGATTTTCCCTTTTACCAAGCATCCTGTTGGCCTAGTTCGGCAGGTGAACAGCCGGAAACGGCCTGATTTTCGTGTTTCGGGCAATAATTCAGTTCTTGGAGTGCTATAAATCTGGCATGATGACGACCTTCGATGAGTCCTTGTCTTGTCCTGCAAAGTTTCAGAAACATGAATGATACTCTCTAATCTAACAGTAAGATAAAACAATTGCTGTTTTTACATTACCATGATGTAGATTTCTTCATCCTCAAGGCGACATACATCGATTGATGCCCTGATTCGACGATCGAGCAGCATCGATTGCCTCTCAGCTGTGGCAACGAACACACTTTGATACCTTTAGAACATATAAAACAATTAGAAAACAAGTCAAGAATTCTCAAGAGAAAATGACCGAATCTAAATTAGTAACTTCAAGTTTCGATTAACAGAACATGAAGCATACGAATCGGATGATTGTCTTCTCGATGATCCATAACTAGAACTTGATGGCAAAGGCACTGTAGGAACTGGTGGAACTTTAGCTCCAACTTTAAGCCACTCTTTATAATACATAGCGAACTTAGCTGTCCCCATATCCATTTGCTCATTGTAGAGCTTACTTAAAGCTTTCAATTTCGTCTCTTTCGGGGCATTGTTTGAGTTGCAGAGAAGTTCAAGTTCTTTGTGGTACCAAACCTTAAGGTGAAGAAGATGTGGAAGGAAGAAATGGTCCCATAAATCTGGGAAAAAATGGGTTCTTGCTAGAAAGACCGAATCACAAAACACTTGAAGTAAATGCCAAGCCGATAATCTATCGTTCTTCTCGAGCTTGTAAACTATCGATAGGTATAACCGAGCACACACCGAGAGATGAGAATCGGGAACCCTGCAAGTTGAACCATTCAAGGGAGCAACAATGCTCAAAAGCTTAATCGAATTCTTCACTAATTTCATCCTTCCTTCCAGTTTGTTGTCTCGATCCAATACTAACTTGTCAATGCTCTCGATTCCAAGTTCGATATCCATAACAACTCGATTATCCGCTTTCAACTTTGATAAGCAAGATCTGCATTTTTCTTTGATCATTTCACGGAAAGTCTCGTCTTTTATGAACCTGCCAATATAGCCACTGAGCAGTGATATCACAGCTTTAATGGCGGATTCATCTATTGCAGGCTCTTCGGGTTTCAGTTTCGACACCCTCTTAGACAAAAACACGGAAGACCCTTTTCGAGTAATAGTCTTGTCGTCCTTGTGGTTCGAAGTTTCCGAGCTTTTTCGGCCATGGCAGATGTAAATTGGCAGTTGTATGGACTCATCTGGTGCTTTGAAATCTCTGGGATTCTTCAACGATTTGCCTTTTTCGAACCCTTGTTCGTTGAGCAAGTGTTGTAATGAAGAAGCCATTGATGTTGAAGAAGCAGCAATAAGTAAATGGAGAGTTTATAAAGATTCACAGACATTCTTTCGAGAAACTAACAAAGGAAACCAGGACAATTAGCCTTTGTGGGCGGTGGTTTTGTTTGTCCCTCATGGGACCGTTAAAATGTACATCTCTTCATTTTTTTTAACGGTGAGTGTATGGTAAAATTTGAGATTTTTAAAATAGTTAAATTTAATATTTTTATATTAATTTAGAGTGATTATGAGATAATATTTATTTGAAATATTTTCACTCATTCATTAATAAACGCTTAAACATTCTTATAGACGAGATACTCGAACTCATAATCTATTAAGATAATAATATTCCCTTTAGGTGACTTGATTGGTGTTTAAATTTAATATTTTTAGAAAACATATATAATAATTTTATTTATAAATTATTATATATTATTACATTTGTCAGAGTTAAATTGAGGTATTGGACTCCGTACAATAAAATTGAAAATCTCTCTCATTTATTCTGTTTATATCTCTTGAGTTTGTTTTGTATTTTTATTGAGAATTATTATCGATTATTAAATCTCATTTTTGTAATGTAAAAAATTATTGAATCTTGAGAATATGTTACATTATGAATATTTTTAATGAGAATTTTTTAATATAAAATATTTTAAAGTTAACATCACATGTTGAAATACATTAAACATACTAATGAACACTATTAATTAAATTATTCTTACTAAAGAAATATTAAGAATTTTAATAATATATGTTTAAAAAAATTAATAATCTATCTAAAATTAATCCTTTGTGAAATTTTAGTTTCAATTGTAATATAAATATAACTAATTATATTTTTTTATTAAAAATCAGAGTCGGCTCCAATAGGATCACTCTAAGCAACCACTCATAGCGCCCAATTTTTTTATAATTAGGGCCTCAATTTTTATATTTATAATTAAAGCCCTAATTTTTATAATTTCATAAATTTTTTAGCATTTGACATTCTTTTTTCAATTCTCTTATTAATTCATTCAATTTTAAATTAAATTTAATCACATTTTTTTATTTTATTCAAATCGTATTCTTCAATTTATCAAATATTCTTTAATTTGTAGTCTTCTTCAATCTCAATCTAACAATAAAATAATATACAATTCTTTTTATTTATTTATTATTCAAAATCAAGCTATGTATCATACACATTCAATTTCTTTATATTTATTCTGTCTTAGATGTATTTAAGGCGTTTTTAATAAAATAATAAAAATAAAGTATTTTCACAGAAATTAATCAGTTTTATGATTTATTTATATAGTATTTAATTAATTGTTTAAAATAATAAAATATACTTTCGTTTTATAAATGTAAATTTTTGAGTTTTTGCTCAAGACTCGAAAATGTCTGAGACAGCTCTGCCAGCAATGATGATTCTGGAGGCCGGGTGGGGGCGGTCGCCCCCTAAAAATCTAAAATTACCATATATTTTAGATTTCTTATTTATTTTCCATTGAAATATGTTTTCCTTCCCATAAAATTTAGTTCGCCCCCTAAAATTTTATAAATTCAAGTTTGCCTCATAACTTAAAATCCTATGTCCGTCCCTGTCTGCCAGTGGCTATCGTTCATCACCATAATCCTATTCTAATTATAAATTATTATTATTATAGAAATAATTAATTTATAACTAAAATATATTATTTGCATTATAGAAATAGGTAATTTAATATTTTTATGTATTTTAATAATAGAAATTTGGATGGCGACCTATCAACTTTATGATTCACGAGACAACGGATATGTTGAAGGATACTTTTGTCCATCTCTTTGTTTACTAGTATAGTATGCTGTCCAAGCATGCAACTTTTGACGATGTACAAAAATGGTTAAATTATTTTTTTAATATTTTAAACTATTTAGATTCAATTTTACTTCTTATAAATATCATTATTTGAATTTACGTCATTAAAGAAAAATAAATCATCCTAAAACACTTAATAAATTCAAGTGAGGCTAAATTAATTATTGAACTGTACGATCAAAGTAATTAATAATTAATAACATTTTATGATTTTTCTTTATCATTTATATCATTATCAATTCTAAATTTCTAATGATACATATAACTCTTAAAGTTTATATTTTTATGGATTTAATTTTATTTTCTTTAAAGTTAATCTTGATCTCATTCTTTTTTGAAAAGATACTTATATTTTAAGTGAGGCGATTAGGTGATGACGAGAATATAAACCTCGTTAAAAAACTTACCTAGATAACTTCTCTATATCTAGGTGAAGGAAAAAGAGTATATACCATGCTCAAGTCAATACAACAAGGATAAAACTCATAACAACACATATAAAACAAGGTAATACAGGTTTACAGCGATACCTTCCCGTATTTAGAATTTCTCCACAAGGCAGACTCAATTGTCCCTCAATAGGAACCTCATTAAGAAGAGGTGTAGAGGCTCCACGATGGCATCAATCGAACCCTTTCTCTTGAGTTCATTGAAGCTCTCTTAAAACACAACCCATCTTCGGTCTCTAATGTCGTCATACATTGAGAGTATATGTCCATAGTATCCAAACCACGCATACCAACCCAGACAGTTTCTTCACATTATTCATCCAATATTTTCTAGCTAACAACATCAATCCGACACTCACAAACCATATGGATCGCTCCAGCACTTATTAATTTCACTTGCTCTACCTGGATGAATCGGTTGAATATAGGTACCAACGCAATTCCTTATCTGCAATGGGGCCATGCCTGCTTTCACCTGCAATAAGAGGGTGTGCAACCACTACATGCATGCCAACAGGGCGTGAACACTCCAAACAGCAACACGGTAACTACCCACTAGCTTTCATCCATATGAACGGTTGAACTCTCCGCGCTCCTTCTTGAGCTAATTCATGAGCCTCAGCGTTTCTTTCTCTGTGAGTGAATCTTACCTTCCAGTTTTGTCTTCTACAAATCTTGAAGCATTCGCCTGCTAAATCTTTGAAAGGCGCTGGCACTATATTCGGCTTCTCGATCCAATTCATAGCCATCAAACAATCCTACTCTATTATTAGTATGTTATCATGCATCCATCTAGATAACTGACATGCTTCTAAGATTGCAACCATTTCCGCACTAGTAGAATCTGATTGTCCAATATGTCTCGCGAAGCGTATTAAGGTCTCACCATTATGATCACGAAGGAGTCCGCCGATTCCAGCAGCCCCTACACTACCTTGTACTGAAGATTCCACATTAAATTTTAATTCGCCTTCAGATGGAGCAGACCAGGACCCTGCACTCGGTTTAGTAGGTTGTACCAGCTAAATAGAGAGGCTTGAATGGCACCTTATAAAGTCATTAATGGAGAAAACTACCTCTGGCCACCTGCTGTTTACCCATAAGCCAATACCCACTAACTCTAAATAAAAAATACTCTTTGCATCACACGTTTTGTTATTAAATATAACCTCATTACGACCACATGGTCCAAACTATCCCAAAAAAAGCAAGTTTCCACTAGGGTTTGAGTGACTGTTTTAAGGATTGATGTTCCCATAGAGTAAATAAACTTCTCAGAGACCCCGGGATAACTAGGCTGATACTCCAAGAGAGGCACCATCCTTGCCATATTTTCCAAGCCACCTCACAATGGCAAAGAAGGAGATCCACAGTGTCTTCAAATTTATCACATAATGCACATCTGCCCAAGTCTTGGATGATCACTTCCCTCTTCTGAAGTTCATATCGTATTGGAATTCGACCTTGGACAGCTTTCCACATGAATGCCTCCACATTCGATGGTGCCAAACCTGCCCAGATAGCTTTCCACATTGGATCAGCCGTAGTTCCTTCACATACAGTTTGCTCACAATAGCCGTTCGGCGAGTATGTCCCCAAGGAATTGCCTTCCCACTTTATAAAGTCGTGACTAGCCCGATTCATTGCACCGTGATTCAGTGTTGCTATAAAGTTGTGCCATTGTTCTACTTCCCAGTCAAATAGGTTTCTTCCAAGTTGAATGACCATTCCCATGAATCATTAGTTTTGACTCCGGAATCTCATTCTTTGCCCTCTTTCTTCATAGCTAACGCATAGATTCTCGCGAACATATCTTTGAGTGGTCTTTCTCCCGCCCACGGCTCCTCCCAGAAACTAATTATTTTCCCATCGCCTAGAATAAACCTCACGTTTCCCATAAAAAAAACGTTATTTGAACTGGAAAGAGGCAGCGTTATGTTTCTCCAAATCCAAGACGCTTTTCTACACTGGGTAGCTCTCGGTAGAAGGTTTTTGGATTTAGTGTTCATTCTCGCATCGATCGTCTTTCTCCACATTCTTTAAAAAAGTAAGTTTAATATTTAAAAACGTTAACATAATAATTCATACGACAAGTCGACAATACACGATACTTCATATTATTATTAATTTTTAAAAAAAATAAATATAAATTACACATAAATTATCAAAAGAATTGTTATGTCAACACCATTAAAAAAGTTATGTCGTGTTAGCCACTATTAGAGATGGTCATGGTCCGGTTGGATTTTTAGCCTATTTGAATATGATCAATAAATTAAATCATTTCACATGCATTCAGGTTTAGGAGAACCCCAATAGATCTGATTTTTAGGTCAAGCTCTACATCTGATTCGACATGTTCTAATTATATGTATTAAAAATATATTTTTAAGACATAAAGTAAGGACTTAATTGAAAAAATAAAATAGAAAGAGATATTTTATAATTATCTTTATATATTTAGAGATAATTATAATATTATGTCGGACAATGTTAGGTTAAACTTTTTTTACCCTAAAATCAAACGTAACCTGACTTGACACCATCATTAAAATGAACTCGATCCGATTCGAATTCAAAATTTTAAAATAAAAACTGACTTATTTAAATACGATCGAAACTCATATAGCCTAGTGGTGCATAACCCATATTTAATCCAGATATGTAACATACGGTTGAATTTAACCCACATATTGATGTACTTTACAAAGTGATTAGATACGATTATCATAATGTAAAATTCTTTAGTACATTATTCCGTATGTTTTATTACTTTATTTCTTATTTGAAATATAAGATTATTCGTACACTACTAAAATTATCACAATGTAATAT